CTCTCTCTCTCTCTCTCTCTCTCTCTCTCCCGTTTACATGTTGTAGACAGCACATCTCTCTCTCTCTCTCTCTCTTAATGATGGTTTTTACCCTCACTTCCTGCGCCCTTCTGCAGTGATGTTTCTTTACTTCTCCGCGCTTACTTCCCTGCTATGCTGGAATCCAGGATGTCAAGTAAATTCTGTGAACCTTATGAGGCTGTCCTCAGACATGACTTTCACTGTTGTTATTCGTCTTTCATTTTTTCGTCCACGACCATCCCGCTCCCCTCTCTCCCAGCCATTTCATCATCCACCAACGCTTTCTTGATGCAGGTGGAGTTGCACTGGCCCTTCCGGTTGAGTAGCAGGATTTTGCAGCAAATAACTCTTAATTCGTTGTGTTTGATGCAGACAATGAGAAATCGTTGTCATGATCGCTATATACAACTCCACAAAAAAGCATGAGTGTAGTCGGTTTCGTTGGTTGTGTGTGTGTGAGAGAGAGGCATCTTTGTCAGGATCTTTGAGCGAACTGGAACATTGTGGCAATACAATTTGGTCGACTCAACTTTGTGGTTGTGTGTGTGTGTGTGTGTGTGTGTGTGTGTGTGTGTGTGAGTGTGTGTGTGTGTGTGTGTGTGTGTTATGGTTGTGCGCTTGTCCAATGATTCTCTTGCAGGCGAAGTCATTTTGAAAATGCTTGGAGTTAGTACTGATTTGAGCACGATTCGCTGGAATTTTGGTGCTCTTGTTATCATGTGCATTGTATATTATGGGCTAGCGTACGTGGTGCTGTTTATACGTGTTGCCTTTGCAACACGGTTCGGTTGCAAGCGGGTAAGGAAGCAAGGGAGGGAATCTCCCCCATCCAGGGAGTCGGAAGAGCAGGCAGATGATGAGCGGTCGAGAGCCAGATTAACACCGACTGCCTAGAAGTCTGTTGCTCCTTGCCTTTTTTCAGGGGTCTTTCTTGACGCGTGTGTCCTTCCAAATCTACACAAGGCCTACCCATGCTGGGTTGGCACTGACATGTGTGTGCTGCGTTGCTGTCCTTCCAATCTTAAAAGTTGGCCATTGGTTTTGTGTTATGAGCAATGCTGGACAGCAGTGTCGTGAAGCCACCGCGTGTCGTTATTGCTGCGAATTCATTTGTTGTTTGCCTTATTTGAACTGATTGCTCCGCAAGGCCAGGAACTTGTCACTGTCTAAAATATCGGTTGTTGTGCTGAGAGTGCTTGTATTCAAGCCATCAGTGCTATTGCATCAATCCTCTACAAGCCTACGAGGGGGGTTTGTCCATCTTGGCTTTCATCTAGATGTCTATCGTAGATTCTCCTTTATCGATTTATTCATTCATTGTCATGTACATTCATTATGTCAGTGCATCTGGTCTGCTTATTGTAAGATGGGATCTGCATGTCTATCCGTGTTCGTTGTTTTGTTTTATCCATTCATTCATTACCTCATTGGGACGCTGCAATATGTTGAGTGTTCATGTTGACAGGATAGACATGTTGACATTTTGAGAACTAGACGAACGTTCTGATGCTGGGCAAGCAGCGAGGCTAGGGTCTGGTAACCTTGCTGAGAAAATAATATTGGTGAATGGATGTGGCTGCTTTCATGGGCAAGCGTTGATTCGTGGCTGCAAAGGTTCTGTAATAAGGTGATGTAGCCGAAGAAGTTTTTGCGCCCTTGTTGAAGCTTGTGTTGATGGATGTGATCATCGTTGACATGTCGAAGGTTCAAATTGTGCTTTGTCGCTCTATCTCTTGCATGCCAAAGGGACTCTGCCCAGCTCTCAACATGGTGGCGGGGAGGATATGATCAATTGGTTTTACTGGTGGATCAGCTCTATGATGAACCAAAGAGGAAGAGAGTTGCAAAAGAAGCGGAGGCGAGATCACCAAGGAGTGTGGTCTGAGCAAGGGGGGATCCTCTCGCTGAGGGCAAATATTGATCTCAAGGATATTGAGGGGAGATGGAGGTGGATGACGGTCGATGATGGCAATGTGTCTTTGCATAGCTTGCTGTTGTGAGTGCAAATAACCCTCTTTGGATGCAGATGCACATGGTCGAACTTGTGTTGAAGAGGGGTGATACAGAAGATTGCTCAGGTGGACTGCAGTCTGAGTTTCACAGACTTGGGTCCTCACGGTGGGTACAGCAGCAGGAGGAAGGTGAACAGGGGGGGGGAGAGGGGGGGGAGGGGGATAGATGGGGTGTGCTTGACTTGCTATTGAAATGTGCACTACCCTGTTGGAATGGAGATGCATATGGACAGAAAGTACATTCACGGTTCCTTGTGCAGAAGAACGGGTTTACTCTCTCCAAGAGCTCTTGTGCTGTGAAAGGAATGAGCTCACAGGGCTCATTTCTTAGTGCTGTGGTGTGTTTTTTTCTGCAATATGCTAGCCAGGTCTGGGTTCCAAATTTTCACAGGTGACTCTATGATGTCGTGATGCAGTCTCACACACGCCAATCTTGTGACGGATGAGATCGATGAGGTGTCCAATTTTCTCATTGTATCGGTGGATGTATGTCCTTGTCATGTTGTCATTACAGATCAGAGGGTCTTACTGAATGTCGAGGAGTGGCTTCGGCAGTCTTAGGGTCTCTAAGCCCGTCTCTTATTGATCTCCTCTGGGTAATATTATATACACTGCCAGACTGGTTTCTCTGAAGAGGAATTAAGAACACTGGAAGAGCCGAGGAGAGGGGAGGGGCAGCAGGCACCTGCTTGCCCTGCCCGACTGGTTTCTCTAAGGAATCAACAACTCTGGAAGACGTAAGGAGAGGGGAGGGGAGGGGCAGCGAGGGGAATGTAGGCACCTGGTTGCCCTGTGCGCTATCGATTTGTGCTACCTCATAGTGTGTGCCACTTGTTGGTGAGGTATGCCTGTGGTCTTGCTACACAGGGCAGGGAGGGGAGGGGAGGCGCCTGCTTGCAATTATGCTTCATCAATTTGCGCTACCTTACCATCATCTGTCCCATTCGTCGCTGAGGTCTGGCTGTGGTCTTGCTACGCTAGGAAAGTCAGGTTCTCTAGACAGAGATGTGTAACGAGCTGCTGCATGAGCAAGGTTGATTACCCGTAGACGAAGGCACATTCTGTGACTTGAACGAGACTTTGGAGATCATCATTTGACAGGGCAGTTCTTGCAGCATCAGCTCTGGGGTTGCGGCCACATGCTGGGCCATGATGCTGGCACAGCTGGCAGCTAATCTAAGCCAAAGGAATTTGTGAACGTTACGTTCAGGCAAAGGGGGAGGAAGATGCTGTGCAGAAGAACGTTGGTGTGTGGAAAGTGCTGCCGGCAAGTCCTCTGAATGTTGAAATGGTTTGACTGCATTGGACACGCTGGGAGCAAGCTAAACGCTAGCGACCAAAGGATTAGTGCAGTATCGGTGTTTATTGCGTGGATGATACAGGAGAAAGGCGAGTTGATTAGGTGGATCAGACGAGGTAATTGTGTAGTATGCATCAGTGGTTATTGCTCGTGGGAATTCTTCAGGTCGGGGGACTGTAAGGTGTGCATTTTTGCAAGCGCACTGCATCTCTGCCAGGGCTCGAGGAAGGTTATGGTTACGGGGACTTGGAGCTAGGTTACGAGGCTCGGTTCTTAGTGCTGCAGATGTGGAGGCTGTTCATTTCAGTGCTGGATAAATGGAGATGACACGGGCACATGGGTCTGCGGGCTGTGGTGTCACATCGGGAAGAATACGTGTTAGCTTGTCTCAGAGGGTCAACCATGCAGAAGTTTTCTCGGCTTCCCGGATGGGTTTCACCTTCACGTGTTGGAACGAAGGTTTCTTGCCCTGGAAGACGAGGGGCACAACCGTTCTATCAGGTCTTCATGCATAGAAAGAGCCTGCCCGGCCAACCCGTGTCGTGCTTGTCCTGAGAAAAAAACTGTTGTACGGTGCTTGACAACCAGTGGGTAACATTTCATTGGCTTCGTCAACATGATGCAGCTGGTAGGCAGAGGCTGTAGCATAAGGGAAGGTGCAAGCATAAGCTCTACTCTGCCCAATACAGTACGTTTCATTTGCGCTCAGCCTTTTTCTTCACTTGGACTGGCTCTCAATCTTTCAGTTACAATAGAAAAGAGGGGGGGGGGGGGGGGGGGGGGGTGAGAGAGAGAGAGAGAGATCCCTTTGCAGCCATGATTGGTGTGCTGCTGTGAAGTGTACCATCAGAAGGTCTTGCTGTCTGTGCTGGGCAGGCGGAGAATGTAACACACACACACACACACACACACACACACACACACAGAGAGAGAGAGAGAGACCCCTTAGCAGCCATGATTGGTGTGCTGCTGTGACGTGTACCGGGCAGGCGGAGAATGTAACACAGAGAGAGAGAGAGAGAGAGAGAGAGAGAGAGAGAGAGAGAGAGAGAGAGAGAGAGAGAGAGA